CCCTATTAGCGGGCTGAGCCCTGTTCAGCCTCTGAGCTGTTGGGTTTGAGCAACTGTGGCCCTCTGAGCATTTTAGTTGAATAGCCCTGTTTTAAACTGTATTATTATGGTGTTATTTTAAATAATTATATTTTTTAACATGAATGAAATTGTGAATAGTTCACTATAAGTGCTGAATTTATATCAATCTACAGCATAAAGAGACTTTTTTAGGTTAAAAAAATTAGTTACATCATAAACAACAAAAATTAGAAAAATTCTAATTAAAAGTAGTACATTGTGATATTACAGAACGAAAATAAACACAAAAATTGTTTTCTTAGCATTCTACATTTGCCATTTTGATTAGATTTGTGAGGACTTTCTTGTTTTCACACAGTTTGTGCAGTTCCTTATTACAATTTCAGCCCTTAATTAGATGATCTGAACTACCAGTAGGTGGTGCTATTGTAACATCAAGTTTTTAGCCATCCTCCCAAAATTACTTAGAGGTGACTTTGGGCAGAAAAACAGATACCTGATGAAAACCACTCTTTCTAATTTGTTTGTTCATGTGTCCTCAGTGTAATATTGTAGGTGTAGGGATAAATAGACTCACCCAATATGCCCTGCAGTTCTTATAATTCTGGAAATAGGCTGAACACATGCTCCTATCATAGTTGTGGACATCCAAACATTTCTGGGAGGCATCGCTTTCCTGGGAAACAGAAGCAGTTCAAATAACCAAGCTACAGCTGTGGAGAATGTGAAGAACCCTCAGCTCACCTCAAGGCATGGATTTATGTCCTGGTCACGAACTTTGCGAGCATTTTTATCCATTCGCACCTGAGAACAAGAAAAGCGGAAAGTTCAAATACATTTATTTCATAAAATTTTAGAGGAAACAAAATGTTTTTCTTAATCTCTGCTACATACAGTGGGTAAAATACGTATTGAACACGTCACCATTTTTCTCAGTAAAAATATTACTAGAGGTGCTAATGACATGAAATTTCCACCAGATGTCGGTAACAACCCAAGTGATCCATACATACAAAGAAATCAAACCATAAATGTCCAGAAATGAAGTTATTTATAATAATGTGGAATGGCACAGGGAAAAAGTATTGAACACACTTACTGAAATTTATCTAATAATTTGAACAAAAGCCTTTGTTGGCAATAAC